GATTAATATTAATAAATGCAAAATATAATAACTGATTTTAAATGAAATATTAATAGAAATAATCCTCAGGCGACTCCTTCGTCAAAGCATTTTTCGAGGAAATTCAAAAATTTAAAACTTGCTTTGATTTCGAAATCTACCTGTCGCGAAACGCCCTTTTTGCACATAAAATTATTGTGTAACAATTGCAACGAAGTCAAAGGAATTTTTTCCATGTTTTTCAATTATGGTAATACATCATTATTAGAAAATTACTGATATTACTATTCAAAAACGCGATGTGCAAAAAGACTCTATCCTGAATTAATAAATAAAACATAAAAGAAATGTTACTACTCACGGATATAATAAATATCCGTGATCATTGTGCTCGTGCAAAATTCTACGTATACAACCAGCCACCCGTGTCGATTCGGATCTTTCATCCTTCGACATGATTGAGTGATCGGAGGAACAAAAATGCATGCGACTCACCATTCGATGCGAAAAATCTACGATGCTGCTTTGATTCATATGTCGTCATCAAACAGGAGACGGTGTAAGCTGAGCAGTATCTGTAATAAAACGTAAAAATGTTATAATTCGAAACATAGTATTGATTTAAAAAATTTAAAATAATATAATGAAAGTAAACGTGAAAAGATAATTACGTCTTCGCGTGATGGATGATCGCCTTATTCTCTTGATACACTGACTTTAATCTATACCGAAAACGAATATATTCAAAAAAATAAATAAATAAAAGGCTATTAACGCGTTTATATTGTAATTGGCGAACAAGCACTGATTCTACTTTCGCGAATATGTAATTATTAAATTTAAATAATGTTATCGTGATATAAAAAAATTAAATAAAAATACTTTTTCGTAATAAACACTGATTCTATCGATCGCATTGCACGCGATCACAAATATTTTTTGAAACTAAAAGGGAAGCTATCACAATCAATATCTGTAACAAAAATTTTGAAATAATGAAAAATATAACAATATTAAACTTTTAATTTTAACAAAATCTATTAACAATAAAAACAAACAATTCTTGAAACATATAAAAAAAATATATATATATATACCTCTTTTGATGGTAGATGATTATCTTATTCTCTTGAGAGAAGCACTGACTCTACCCTATACCGAAAACGAATATATTAGAAAAAAAAAAAATAAAAACCGAATATTAACGTATTATTTATGTTTAATTATTAAATTTATTAATGTTAAATTTAACGTATTCATTTATGTTAAACAAACACTGACTCTAATTTCGCGATTTATTATTACAATTAAATTTAATTAGAACTGTTGTGTTCTAAAAAAAGACTTTTACGAAGCAAACACTGACTCTATCAATCGCATTGCACGCGATCACAAATATTTTCTGAAAATAAAACTATGTTAGTACATAGGGAGGAATATATAACAGCAAAATATTTTTACGATATTTTTCTTCTTTTTCTATTGAGCATTTGTTAACGAAATATCTTTCTAAAGTTACAAATTAAAAAAAGTAAGATGGCGAAAGAATGAAATCAAATAATATATCGAAATAAAAATACGATTTAACTTTTTCTAATTATTTTCGTCTAAATATTCTCAATGATTAATGTATCGATATATTATGAATTACTTAACAAATATACGTATTATTAATAATTCAAAAAAAAATTATAAATATATTTCTAATATAAAAACTCAAACCGTTTCCACTTCTTTATGACAAGTCGCCATTTGATTAACGAATGCATCGAATGTTCATTATGGCGTCCATATTGAAAGTTTTTTCTCGCCTTGTAGATTATATCAGTAATCTGCACAAAAGATTATCAAATAATAGAATAAATATATAAAATATATGAAATTAGAATCTATTCTATTAAAACAAGATAATAACAAAGCTATAATTATCTTATTTTAGACACCACTAATATCTATTTCACTAATAATATTATTGGTGAAATGGATTTATAAAGAAAATCGAATAAATTTATTCCTCAAAATATTATCAATTATAATAATATTTAATAAATTATTAAATTAATGTACTAATTAAATAATAATATAGGAAAAATAAAAGAATAATATGAAAAATAATATACTACGCAATAAATTAATCACGTACCTGAAACGTCTAAACGCCACGACTGTTCACAGAAGAATAACACCTCGCACCGCAATTTCGATTATCGAATTGGATTAGAGAAAGAAAGATATACTAGAAGTTTGGCAACAATCGAAACATACCGAGCATGGTACGAACGAGGAAAGATATAAGAAATATTTTCCTCGAGTGTAAAATCAAAACAAAACTAAACGTTATAAGAAATATCTCGACTCAAACGTAAAACCAAAACAAAAGTAATACGAATTGAACGCACGAATATGCGTATTTAAGAAGAAAATATATCAGAATATATATCAAATAAAATCGATTTAAATCGATTAAAATCTAATCAAAATAGTTCTTTTATTTCTACATGAATAGAAAGAAAAATGAAAGAAATCTATAATAAATATTTTATATCTTGAAAATAATTCAAATCTTATACACATTTGTACAAAAATCATGACACATCGTATATAACCTATTGCATTTTTGAAGCAATTCTAATAATTATTAATCTGCACAAATAATAATTAAGATCATTTTTTAAAAACAATTTTAAAAACAAATTTATAAAATTAAAATAATATTAAAATAACTAAGCAATAAGTAAATATAAATTCGGTTTACAAAGTATATTAATATGATAACTGTAACCGTCAAATATGCGAATAATGAAGAACGACGTAAGAAATGAAAAAAAAAACTCAATTTTAATATAACAGTACTTAATGATTAAACACACATATTAATTAAACAAGACAAATAATAATAACACAATATTAAATTTTATATCACAATATAAATTTTACTTATATCGACACGTACTCTTCTCATGATTCTTGATACAAGACTGACACCATACGTTTTGATTCGTCTAACCATTGGGCCTCAGAAGCTTTTTGATTGGCTGAAGAGACGCAATTATTATTTACTTCAACTGCGCGAAAATTGAAGTATAATATAATATATTTTAATTTATACATAACTGTTAATTTATATATCGAAATTTTACAAAAAAGTACTGATTAAAAAACGTAATAAGAATAAATTTTTATAGTTAATATAAAATAATATAAAAAATATAAAAATTATTCAAATTAAAAAGATATAAACATAAGATTTAATCATTTAAAATAAATATTGATCAAGTCTGAAGAGTGTAATGTAAAAAAAGAGTGAACATAAAATATAATTAAATTAAAAAACATATTGAAACATAATAAAAGAATTTAAGATAAATATTAAATTGAATTAAATAAAAAATAAATTTTTATATGATTCTGTTATATTGTTTCAAATTTATTACTCTTATATAGTACACAGATAAATCATTTCAATATAATACATCATCTATAATATAAAATTAAAAACTACGCACATATAATATAAATAAATTTATATCTAAATGAAATATCGAAATGTTGTTTAGTCTAGATTAGACTAAGTATGTGTAATTCTTATAATTAGTTTGATATTCCTTTCTAATATTATCGAAAATGAAATTTTTTTTTAATATAATAATGTTTTTGTTATAAATTTTTCAATAAAATGTATTATCATATCTATTTTATAGCTCGTATGTGTTGATTATTAATTTTTACCCTACCTTATCTTATTATTAAAGAAGATGACTTTAACATTCGAGAGATGGCGCTAATGATCATTTTTTATTCTACCTTATCCTATCTTGAAGAGATATCTTTGATATCTCAACAAGAGATGGCGCTCAATGTCAATTCTTTTTATCTCTATCTTTTTCTACCTGTTCTCCTTGAATATTGAGTTTCGTTTGTGGCACTCTGGAGATGGCGTTGATTTCAAAATTTTTACGCTATCTCTATCCTTCTCTCATTATTCCTTTTTCCTTGTCTATTCTATAAAACGCGCTAAAAGATAATTCCTACATTTGATTAACTTTATTGTCTTGTTTTTTTTCTGTTCTAACCTATTAAATAAAAATCTTAACAAAGTCCCATTAAATAATAATGAAAAAGAAGAATTAAAAAAAAAATCATTATTAATACATTATATAATATCTAAAAATAAAAATTAAAATTGTTTAAATTTTCGTCAAATAAACGCCTAGTTACAAATAATATTCTTGATAATTCATTTAAAGATAGAAG